TCCCTTTGTACCACCCCACTCCCACTTTGTACAACACTCAGGCTGATTCAGAAAAAGGTGCAGGGCACATGACTAGGAAATAAAATGTGGAATCCCAGCTCAGTGAGAATCCATGGGGAGTGATCACAACCAAGAATTTCACCCAACACATCAGTCCTGCTCATGGAGGAATGAATAGGCTTTTGGATGTAATTTCTAGGATTTTGGGATGACCTGAATCAGCTAAGTACAAAGGGTTAAAAATAACTATTTAGGTAAGAAAGGAAGAAATATGTATTAATATCTTTAATGAGCCATAGGTCTCCTGAAGATAAAATTTAAGAGCTTAACATTCCAGTGTCACTGAATTTCCTTTTTGTGGAACATGAAACTGCGGCTAGGCAGTTGGAGAAGAAAACACAATCTTGCTTCCTTTCCATATTCATGATAATACTTGTCATAATAATTTACTTTTGTTTCAGTAACAGGAATGTTGGTGTTTTTCCATTTCCCCGATGCATTTCCATTTTCACACTTCCCCATCTAATATTAAATATATTGGAAACGGTGCCAAAATATTCAACAATATTGAAAAAGCAGAGGAGAAATAAAATTACTGTCGCAGATTTCATATCACTCCTTTTCCTAAATTAATAAATATTTCATTTTCTTATCTAGAGAAGCAGCAATGAACTTCCACTCCCAAATATGAGAATCTGACAAGTTAAACTTAAAAACACGGTTTAGCAAATAGACTATCCTGAAAATGACACCATGACTATTACAAGCAGCAATCATTCCCACAAGAAAGAGGAACAATTAGATTTTTGTCACATGATCCTACCATTAAAATGTCTCCAGAGTGAAAGATTTAACAGATAATTTCAGGTCACTTTGCCAATGAAATCACAGGGAGATTGGAACTCTGGGTCACTGATTCTAGATAGAGGTGTGGCAGAGCCACACTCCTAATCGTGATTAGGGTTTTCCCCTCCCTTCCTGTTCCAAAACTCACACTCTCCTCTCTGCTGCTGTATAGCAAAGACCATAGTGACACTTGCTGGTGCAGCAAGGAGTCTGAAACAAAATACTAAAGGAAGCAGAGCCAACTGCAGTTGGTTTTTTTATTCATATCTTCCCTTGGGGAAAAATGCTCTGAGGATTCTGTTTCCCGCTTGGCAGACCAGGAGATGTACAACACTGAGGGGCAATTATTCTGCTCCTGATCTCACAGTGTAAGCACTGAACTAGCAGCCTTGGCTATCACAGGAGCAGTGTGCCACTTTGTTAAACTTAGTTGAGTCAGTCTTCTCCTTTCTTCCCCTTTTTTTAAAAGATATCTGAAGAAAAAAAGTACTCCAATACCTACTCCCTCCCTTTGCCCTCCACCTCCCTTACCGGTCTGCTTAAATACCCCCTGTACTCCTTAAATACCCCTGGGTTGCAATAACCTCTCCTTTCAAGGAGAAGGGATTGGAGAAGTGTCTCTCCCTGTGCCTGGTATTTATGGAGCACCTCAGTCCTGCTTTCAGAAGAGCAGTGCCTGGCACTGATCCTGCAAGGAGAGCCAGAACCTCAGGATGTGCTTCCAGCCATGGGAGCTCGAGCAGTGCCTTGGACTCCTTGTCCCCTCCACTGCAAAGGGCAGTAGGAGACATGGATCTGATTTATTTGAGGGAGGGACAAGTGGTTCTGCAGTCATATTACAAGCTAGAGATACTCCATGGGGTTATAACCCCCTACAGCCTCTTCCCTCCAATCCACATCCAAAATAGGAGTGAAATTTCTCTTAAAGGGAGGTTGTAGTGCATGTTCACTTAGCTCAGGAGGCTTATTGGACCCTCAGCTCTCTCACTTGATACTTGGAAAGTAAAGGAGATTTTCCCTACAGGCTGTGACAACAGGAACAACGAAAAATCTCCAAATGAACAGCAAAGCAGCACTTCTGCCATTTGTTGATTAGACTCACAGACAATTCTCCTTCACAGGTAACTGAATATGTCAGATGGTGATTTCATTAATTTTTTGTCCTGATAGAGGCAGTGTGGTTGCTCTGACCTGAGGTTGAATTCACTGTTACTGCAGAGGCACCTGGAAGCACCTGACCTCCCAAGTTGTTAATATTTAGGGTGTAAAAGGCTGAGAAAAAAAAAGAAGCGAGGTACAGCAAGTACATGGGGGGTCAGCTTGGATTTACACCTTGTTCCCATCATAAAAAGAACTTTAGAGAAAATTTCGGTTTTAGTCCTCAGTTGTTCAACATCTTCCAAAGGAGAAAGTCTTTTACTTCCCTTTCCACTTATTTTCTTATGACCTTTCCACATTTTTAACCTGTTCTAAGGAGCCAGGAGTACCATTCCCAACCATACAGTTTTTCACAGGTGACAGAGAGGGGAAATAAAGGGCTGCACCTCCTCCTCTACAGCACATTTCAGCAACATCTACAGCATGTTATGTGATTCAACTGAATGAGATTTTCTGCTTGCTCCTTGCCCTTTCATTCCTCTCCTATTGTCCACAAATCACATTTTCCTCTCAATGTCTCCATTTCATCATTTACCTTGTCCATTTAGACTGAAAGTATCTCAAAACAGAGCTTTCTCTTAGACATCCTAAGTTACATACAATAGTATTGGGGAATTCTGGGAAAGATAGAGGTATTTCCAACCCTCAGGTCCTTCCAGCAGTGAAGCAACTCCCCCTACATGTTTTTACAACTCAGTAAGCCAAGTTGTGTCAATAACTTGTTTTGGTTTGGTTTCAAACTTCCCTGCCTGAACAGATACACTGCAAAAATCCATCGCTCTCCCCATTAAAAAAATGTCCTGGCAAGGCCTTAACCAGTTTTAAAATATTCAGATTCATCTGGACAAAACAGTAAAAAGTTGTTTAAAACCATGAACAAATACATAAATCTGGTTCTTATCAAAACTTTCAAAATGAAAATGATTTGTCTTGATGAATCTTTTAGCTGAGGCAATTTGACAAACTCAGCATGAATGAATAAACTGTGTCAATCAAAGGCAATGTGAATTTACACTGAAAAAGTTCCATCCTGAGATTATTGACCAGTCCCAGCTGTAACACTTGTACTATGGATCAATCCTAATTTTTGAGTCGGTAACCAGACAACATTTGGGTCTTTAGTCACTCAGTCTTCCCTTGGCACAAACAACTGGTGTGTGCTGAGCAGAGGGTGGAGTGATCCCTCTGTTAACTCTGCTTTGCTTTCCTACAGCTCAGGCACTGTTTGACTTCCATCCCTGGAGTAATTAGGAATCTGCTGGGCTCCTGTATGAACTCACCCCTCTCCTTTCAAGCTTCCATGTACATTGAAGAAGATCCTTTTGGAGAGAGCTTGGATGGTTTCTTTGGAAGCAAAATACACAGTTTTGAAGCGTATGGAGGTCAGTGTGTGTGTGACGAGGCACAGCAAACCCCAGTCACTGCTCCAGGATCTGCAGGATTGAGGGGCTGCCAGGGCTGATCCCTCTGCCAGCTCTGTGGTCACTCAACTCACACTTTGTGCTGCTCCAAAGGAGTCTAGTGCACCAAACAAATTCCAGCTAGAACAAATGGCAGGATGCAATGGACCCAGGCCACTGCAGCTGAGGCACAAATATTCCCAAACAAAGCCAAGAGCTCCCGTCATGAACAGTGTTCCCGTTTGTACCAGAGAAGATTTTAAAGTACAACAAGAGACCATATCAAAAGGTTATATATTGCAAAGAAATTCGGAATTTGGAAGTAGGTTACAATCAGAAGTTTTGAAAAAAACTGGAGAATCCCTAGTGGTATTCTTTCATGGATGTTCAGAGGGGAAAATGATTCTATCAAGGAACTAGAAAAAGGGAAAATAAATACAGGGGATAACACTAGAACTAGGATGGGGGAAAAAATTCCTCTTGAGCAGTTGGAGGCTCTGGTATTATCCAGTTTTTAAGCTACTTGGCCTGCAAGTGAATATACTATTAAAACTCCCCAACTTTGTGGCAATGTTAAAATATTTCAGCTGGGAAAACTCATAATATCCCAAGAGCAGGAGCAAGTGTTAGTCCTAAATTCCTCTACAAAAGAAACATAGAGTTGCAGACTTAAATAACTGCATGCAATGAAAGAAGGAGAAAAAATGATACTTCGCCAAAAAAAACCCAACAAACCAGGCTGCAGATACTACCATTTTTCTTCTGGGAAAAGCATAAAATAAAGAAAGCCTGAGCTGCTGCTTAGGTGATACTTCAGAAATGCAAGTGGAGTCCCAGTAGAATTTCTCAAGTTGCTGTCAATTTATTCCAAAGAAATACAACTTAGCAAAAGCCATCAACACAACAAGCTGATATTCAAACACTCCAGTGTTTTTATCTCACTGCTTTAAACACAATCCTAAAGAGAATCTCTGTTTGCTGTGGTTCAGGATGACTGATCTTGACTCTTTTTTAAACAATCAGACGTGGATAGACACAACATTGTGTAAAGTCTTCCTGCACAGTGTCCTTGCACGGGGCACTCCAGCCTGGCAACCACATTCTGGAAACTGCTGCTTCTCCAAGTCTGAAGCACTGGCCCTGACTTACCCATGAACATTCATTTATAAAACAAAAATGTGTTTCTGGCACCTTTTGAAGCCTAAAGCACTTACATCCCAGGTCTTAGAGGCACGTCATTCTGCTTGGAAGCACGAGCTGTATTTTTTTTAAGGATCATATGGTCTTGTAGGGGCAAGTGTTAGAGGGAAGTGGCCTGTGTCCATTATCCTTGGTCTGTAAGTTCATCACAACTGGCACCTGAACCAGAAGCTTAAAGATGGCAGCACCTGAAAACATGGGCACCACAGGGAGCCCTGCAGGTGCTGTAGCAGGGTCTGCTCGTTCCCCTGCATGATGCCAGGGGGCTGCTGAGCTGTGACATCCTGATAGAGCAGCAGGACTTGTAACAGAGGAAAAGTGTCCCTCTCAACCACAGGGGCAGATTAAGAAGTAAATGCTTAAAACCAAAGGAGAGAAAGCAGCTTTGTAACTCACCAGAAGGAGATCTCTCCTTGCTTCCCTCTCTCGCCACCAGAGATGAGATCTATCACCATTGCTCTTGCTCAGGAGAATGAGACATTCAAGAAGGCATCTGAAGCCTGGAAAATGAAGAAACTCATGAGAGCAGGAAATTAATGGAGAACAAAATGCCTGTGTTGGGGTTAGCAGGCCTTTTCCTTTCCATATGGGACATACAGGATATAGGGAATCTCTCTCCCTTTAAGTCTATAATTATGGCTGTATTTTCATTCATGGTCCCACCAAAAACACTGAAGCCCAAAGCCTTAGGATGGATACAGTCTCTAGTCCTTTCCCACTTGTAATACTTAGAAATACAGACTTCTAGCAAAACCAGAAAAGGAACCTTTCCTTGCAAAATACTTATGAGAAAGACAAACACTGATCTTGAGATCACATATTAGGGAATTTAGAACAAATTATGTTCTCAATATGATGACACTGAGGTTGCAGAGAGCATGAATAGAGGTGAATTTGATGTTAAGAGTTTAAATAATTTGCTCGAGGACACAATGCAGTTCACTGTGTGCCCTGAGATTAGAAGCCAGGAGCTATTAAATTCTTTCTCTTGTTCCCAGACTGCTAGACTAGGGAATAAAGCTCCCTGCAGAGAGGAATATTTAAAGAAAAAAAAAAAAGAATGAAGAAGAAGACTTATTCACTCAGTACAAGCCCTAGAGTAAAACCACACATGTAATATCACCAGTGCTTCTCTGTCCCTCAGGTATATTCTCCTCAACCTCCTCTGACTGAGAGAAGTAGAAGAAATGGCAGTTTCCCAAGAGCCATCTCCCCAAAACTGAGGGTTATACCTTCTAGGACTTGGGAGAAGGGGACTTAAGTGTGGCTCTACAATCCTAAATATGAGAAATAACTTCAATCCCTGCACCTGAGACATCCTAGCGAGCAGTCAGCAGCTGGTATTAGACCCCCTGAGAGCTTGACAAAGGCAACAGCAAAAAAGAGTTCTTCTTTCCAGTCATTAGATGGAACACAGAAAACAGGCCACCAAATCCTACAGTGCTCCAGCCTCCCACACACCGGGGAGGGGAGGAGGAAGACTGTGACACCTTCCAGGCTCGTCCTTTATTAATACATTGAGCTGTCAACACTTCGGAGCAAATACTCTCAAGATTTTCCCCAGCCTTTGAATGCATCAGGAGTTGCTGTTGTAATGCTCTCCTTCTCCTGTTTTTGAAGAGCTTCCTGCGAGTTCCACGGACACCAGGAAAGGACTCACTGTCCCCCAGCACCCTCAGGACGGCCACTTGTCCTGCCTCCCCTGTGCCTTCCCACTGCCTCCAGTGCTCACGTGAAACGTTCTGCCTGTAACACCCTTCCCCAAGCACCGGGGATCCAAAGGGATTCACTTTGGGGCAGATGCTTTGCGATGAGATGGACACCCCAAATGCAGCCCAAGGGAAGGAAGGAACAGCAGTAAATCCCATCTGGAGCTGCCTTTCCTCCACGCAGCCCAGTAGCACCAAGAATATCACCAACAGAGCAGTGACTGCCCCAGGGAGGAGCACCAGTGTGCCAGGAATTGGCCTTGTTTACATGGATTAAGAGACCAGTATTTCTTATCATGCTGAAATTCTACCTTAACATGAAACCTTTCAGAATTAGGACAAGCTTTTTACTATATTTGAGCAATTCTTACTCATCCACAGTGCAAGTTTGGCCATTTACTGGGTCCTCACTATACTACAGTGCAATATAATAAAGTATTGATTATTCATTCAGTTTTCTCATAATTATATTCCCCAATGCTTGAACACTGGCAACTGCAAATGACAGATGTGTGAGAGCACTAAAACATAAATACAAACAAAATTTGAGATTAAATCAGCAAGTGTAAGATGGCAACACATTTCAGGACTAGGCTGATCAATGATTGTGAATGGGAGGAGGTTTTATTCAGGCTATAATACTAAATATCCTTCCACACCTCTCAACACCTGCCATTCTTTACCACAACACCTCTTACTGCAGCACCTGATTACTCTGGAGCTCTTCTTGGTCAGATTTGTGCAGAACTAAAGACAGATGTTGCATTAGATCCTCTTTTCCTGGAGTGAGGATCCAGGAACACCTGTAGTTTGTCTCTTTTCAAACAACAGGGTTGGATCTGCCCTGCTGTGAGTTGAGCATTTCACTTGCTCACACCAGCAGTCTGGAAATCAGACTGGATGGACTCACAGTTTGTTTGGTGTGTTAATGCCCAGAGTCCTACAAAAAACCCCACAATTTTCCCTTTCAAATGAGCTTTCTGAGAAATTATTAGGCTCGTGTGTATTCATTAAATAAGCCCATGATCAAGTTAATGTTATTATTAGCTTTTAACCATGCAAACACAGTCCAGATAAAACTGGGATTTACAATGGTATGATCACATCAACTCTCACCTGGTCATTTATTCTGCCATAAAATGACAATAAAAACCACTAACTGTGCTTGGAGCTTGTCTACCTTTCTAATAAAGCACTGGCCTCAGTTCTTTGGATTATTTTTTTGTTTTTTGCTGACAAATGAGGAACAGCTGATCAACAAATGTATTGCTCTTTTTACAGCAGACTCTTTTCTTTTTTCCATACTGTGATGATTGAGAACAGAACACCCAAAGTCTGTCAAAATAAAATTTCTTTGGAACAAAGCCACAAAAAGATAAAATGAAGTTGTCACTGAAAATTAATTAATACAAAGCAGCGATTGGTAGGAGGAATAAATACTTAGACCTAAAAATACCAGTGCAACAGCGTGCTGAAAGGTTATTTTTAGTCCTACTTCTAACAAGAATATCTCAGTATGTTTAATAATAGCAAACTGGATCTCCAGGGCAAGATATTGAGAAAAATTGTTTACAGCAAGCACTTCCAGATCTCAAAAACCTACCTTAAAAGATTTTTAAGTTGTTATTAAGCTTTGGCTGGCTTTTTAAAGAAACGGCTTTAAAATACTTTTTCCATTATATACTTTCATTATAACAAGTGAGGTTTCTGTGTAACCAAAAATCATTACAGCACGGGCACTTTCAGTGTCTGAGTCTCCACAAAAGCCAGTTTTCTGGAATGTAAGTGTGAAACCAGCACACACATAAATTGTTTCTCATCTAAGGAAAGGAATGTATTTTGAAATTAATTCAGAGTCCCATTAAAAATCTTTCATCTTTCTTTTGTAATAAATAGCTCCTTAAGAGCAACTAGATGGCAAGAATTAAATCTTGTGGGTTGCTTTTAAAAATCTATATCCAATTCTTGAAAATCTATATCCAATTCTAAATACATTAGACCACTGGAGCCTTGTCTTGGTTTAACCAGACAGAGGCAAAAGTCTCATCTGCTGAGCTATAAGAGCTTTTAACTTTCTCTCTTTGGGAATTGGATGAAGCTGGATATACTTTCAAGGTTCTTAATATATCCCTTTGGATATATTAAGGTAACAAACCCAAAGCTGTCCCCAGTGAAGTTCCCCCCTCTGCAAGAACTGCGTGTTCATGTCCTCTGAGAACTTGCAAAATGGAGAGAAAAACCATCTCTGTGCCTCTAAACAGACACACATGAATTCTTCCAACGGTATCCCCAGGGTGAGGGATGTCACTCCAGTCCAGTGGGACTTGGGGGAATGAACCCAAGGCCTTTGAGTGCTTTTGTTCCACAGCCTTGTGTTGGTTACACACTGGAGTGGTTTGGTTTAGGACTTTTCCTGGCAACATATTAAATATAGATATTGCCCAAGACTAGTAGGAGTGATGAGATACAGCTCTCAAAATATTATCTAACAACCCCATATATGTGATGTCTGAGATTTTCCTAAGAAGCCTCTTTTCCTAAGAGGAATATTTATATTATTGATCCAATATAGTGAAGGAAAATGATCATAAGATGCCTTGCATGTCTTCCAAACACTGGAATCAGATCCTATAGCTGTCCTTTAACAAGGAAACAAAATATTTTTGCCCTTTTACTGATGGCACAGAGAAATGAAATGAGCTACATTTCATATTATATGCCACACATTCCCCCTGGTCAAAGGAAGATTTCAAAGCCAATTTATCAGAAGATGGACAAACTGAATGAAATAGCCTAATGTTTGCAATATGTAGATAAACACCATTTAAATTTGATTGACATCCCAGGAATTCTGGGGTTTTTTTGGTTGCTGTACTTCAATAACAAATATTTGGAGTACAGTCCCATGAAAAAATATTTTCTTCTCAGCACTTGCCCTTGTGTTTCAGAGTCAGTGGTTGAACTGGTCAATATTTTTTGGATTTGAGGGCAAATCCAGCTTTTACTCTCATGCCTTTAGACATTTTCTGAGAAAGAATTCACTGACCACATGTAAGAGGGCAAGTTAGTGAAAAATAGAGTAGAGCAGGACTGGCTGGAGGAAGAGACAGAGAGCCATGGATTGTGAGGTCCCTCCAAGCTACTCAAATTACTGCACAGTCACAGAGGACTGTTCCATTCAGGAGCACAAAACCTCTCCAGAAGGGTTCTGCAGTCTCTCCTCACTCCTACATCTGCAAACTGCAATGCCAGAGTGAAGCACTAGGTCATTTCTGAGCTGATTTTTAGCTCCAGCAGCTGTCACTGCATCAAACTGTTATGTGGGAATAATAAGTTCAGCGTCCTTTCTGCTGGAGATGTAGTGCCTTCTTGGAAAAGGTAAAAGATGGGAAGATACAGAGGGAAATGGTATACTTAATAAAAGTTTTGGATGTGTCATTTTTGCTTACCAAAGAAAATTGGATAGAAAAAACCCTGGATCCTTAATGGATTGTTCAAATGCTCATTAGCATCAATCAGATTTATTTGAACAGATAATTATCCCCATATTGTGCTTTCATCACTGAGATTGTTTACGTTAAACTGTCAAGCAGCCATTTCCAAATTTTACTCCTTGATGTGCTGAAGTTCCTTTTACAGTCAGGAAAACAAAGGAGGACTTATTTTTCTCCTCCTCCCACCCCTCAGCTTCGTTTTGACCCCGTTTGAAGTGTTTCACAGGGCTTTTAAGTCCGCGGGAGCACTGAGTCATTGTCAGTTCAGACGTTCTGAAGAACTGCAGGTACAGGTCT